GGAATTTTAAAGGCAGAAGAAATGAAACAGATCAAAGAACACTGTTATAACTGGTTCACTGTGTCCTATTAATGTATAACGTAATGATACCGCCAATTAGAGAACAGTGAATTATCGACCAGACCAATGACGCATAAAACCCGTACGAGCAGTCTAGAGTCTTTACAGGTCCTGCTTTCTGCCTAGCCCGTCCTTCTAAGTTCAAAACACCAATCTCAGCCTCCGCGATATGAATCGTATATCTCAAACATACTGGGTTTATATACCAACCAAACAGACCACATCGTACCATGAAATAGAAAATAACATTGTACAAGATTTAGCCAAAAGTGGCTGTGAATGTGGGATAGACTAGGCATAACTCAAGAATGGTAAATCGCATAATAATAGTTCATAGGTCAAAATAAAGCTTATAATAAGGGAAACACGAATATAAATTATATATATATATATATATATATATATATATATATATATATATATATATATATATATATATATATATATATATATATATTTGTGATAACCCAGTGAATAGAAAAATTAGATTTTCTGACATTTCGTGACTTAGTGTAAGCCACTTTTTCATTATTCTCATCGGGATATAACAAACACAATGCGCTGTGAATGAGAGACAGACATATCGAGAATGTGTAGAATAGGGGAACAACGGGGAAGTAGAGCCCGGGAAACAGTCAGTCAGGATTTGAATGTGACCAGTTTGGTTTCGTGTGCTGTTACGGGTATGAGGGCTGATATCACTTCCAGCTGCCCACACTGTGGAAAGGTATTTCTTAAGAAACCTGAAAAGGAAGTTAGATTAGTGTCGGTCTCGACCACCTGGGGGCGTGATCGCAGAGCCCAAGGGACAACTGCTTGAGGCCGGTCACGCATGGCTTTTTTGTAAGAGGTTTCCAACGTGTTAGCTCCAAAGGGCCTTACCGCCAGAGACGGAAATCTGTGAGGTAAGGTGAGGTGTGACATTTTTATGGTTGACCTTTTCTAACCTCTTCCTTCCTTGTGAGAAGGCAGCATCGGTGCTTTGCCAGTTGTCGGAGGGAAACAGCTCACTGCTGTCACACCCCTCTACAGTCAGCAGAACTTCGCCCTCAGACCTTGAGTTACTGCTTTTAGTCTTACCGTTCTCCAATCGACCTGCCTGTCATGGTCGAACCTACAGGGACATATGTTTCAGCCAATATATCTCCGTTGGGTCGTCACGATAGGTAAGCCCGACCACCACGTCAAGGTAGCAGCTACCGTCGGGCCAGGTTGGAGGATCCTAGTCGTGAGCCTATGCTCCACAAGGGGCGACAGACCTTAATAAGTAGCCACACTCCCGGTAACGGTTGTTCAGTTTCGATAGATCTGCTCTTCAGTTAGATATAAGGTACTAAGCGGAATGATTGTATTTGTTGCCGAATCGTTTTTCATAAGTGGGATCTATTCTCATTTTCGTTACAGTTTGCGTAAAATAGCTACTATGTTCTTGTGCTCAGATTATGTATTCGCAAATATAATCGGATTACTGACAACAAAATAATCGCCAAGTTTAGTGGTATTTGTTTGGTTTCTGCTCACATTAGCTATTAAATAAATGATTATGTTTACGATAAACAATTTAGTTCTGTGATCAGATTTCAAATAGGGCTAAAAGTAAAAAAATAGTATGTGATTGTGTCCATAATTATAACTTTAGGACAAACGAGAACGTGGTCAAATGAACTACAATAATTTTGTCACAGTAAACGTGATTTTGACTTTTCTTAATATTCAGAACTTTACGTACCATCCATGACTACTTACACACAAGCACATCTCACTATTATCAATCTACTCAATTTATTTGAAATTATCCATTCAAATCTTGATAATCATCCTTATAAAGAGGCTAAACTTTACAATAACTCGGCGATCTTATACAACAGACGAAAAAGTCATTGTCTGTTGGTCTGAGACGGACAAGTAGACGCAGGTAAACTGGCTGGGGTACTTGTAGTCAGCAGCCGAACACAATAGATGACGTGGCTCAATGCACTCTTCAACTTCCTTTAAATCTTTAATTTCAGGATCCCTTCATACATACCTTTTCATTTTGTCTTTTTGAACCACATTTCAACTGTTCACTTATTCCCAGTATCATTGCTGCTACAGTATGTTGATTCCTTTGCTATTGGTTTTATTGCGTCGTACTAATATGGTATGGAAACTTAGTCCAATGTACATCTGTGCCAGGCTCTAAGTTCATCATTACTGGCTGACTGAAACTTGTAACTTGGTCACATTCTAATGTGAAGTCTAGCGAAACAACCGGGTTACCCAGATCGAAGCCGTGTGGCTTCCATTCTTGTAAAACCAATCGCTAGAATTCTCTTTTGTATCCACCAAGCAGCTATCCCATAAAGATTGCGAGATCAAATGTCATAGTCTACCTATTTCTCAGTCATACAAGCAGATTGTTACCAAACTGACCAGCTTACTTGAAGGTAACGAAGAAATTTTCTGTTTCATCAGCAATATATCTACCCTAATGTAATGTAAACTTTACATATTATGAAAATTCGGTAAAATGTAGCGAGTTTCTCTGGTATTCCATTGCAAACGGATCACAAATAAAAACGACAGAACGCAATATGTCCTATTTATTTTGGAATGCGCAGGCGTTTTTGGAGACGGATCTACTGCTTATTACTTCATAATGACTTGATTAGTATAAGTTTATTACCTACTTCGTAAGCGTCGATCAATGACCGACTAAAATAATATATTTGTGACCATTTCTTATTATTTCGACTCATTTATATTCAATTACATTGAAGTCCTAGCTTGATATGATTACATGCTGAAATATTAATCTATAGATTGTCGAACACTTGATAAGAAGTGAATAGTATAGATCCTGAGCCAATAATTTTTTTGGTTGAGATCATGAATCAATTGATGTTAGACCACCGTTGGAAACCTGGAAGCACTGGACGGCCGTTTCGTCCTAGTATGGGACTCCTCAGCAGTGCGCATCCACGATCCCGCACCCCGCGGGATTCAAACCCAGGACCTACTGGCTTCGCGCCTGAGCGCTTAACCATTAGACCACTGAGCCGGCATCCAATGGTGTTAGTGTCTAACATCAACCAATTCACGAAATTGCGCGACCAACTTCCATTGATTCATGATCTCGACCAAAAACTTAACAATCTCCACAACCCCCATACTGATAATTAACATGTGCTCACTAGTGACTAGCTTCGTGAGGGAATTCTCGGAGTTCTAGTGAGAAGTCGTGACCAGTGGAGCTAATCCGTGTCGGGCAGAGACAGGTATCTGCCTCAGTACAATGGAAGTTGGTCGCGCAATTTCGTGAATTGGTTGATGTTAGACACTAACACCATTCGATGCCGGCTCAGTGGTCTAATGGTTAAGCGCTCAGGCGCGAAGCCAGTAGGTCCTGGGTTTGAATCCCGCGGGGTGCGGGATCGTGGATGCGCACTGCTGAGGAGTCCCATACTAGGACGAAACGGCCATCCAGTGCTTCCAGGTTTCCAACGGTGGTCTAACATCAATTGATTCATGATCTCAACCAAAAACTTAACAATCTCCACAACCCCCATACTGACCAATAATTTTTGATGGAACTATCGATGGTCCATAGCTTAACAATAGCGGGAGAATCAAAATTTTCAATTGATTTAGAATTACAGACATAACATTATGAATAAATTATTGTTAGTTCTTTACTTCATAGTTATTATTTGTCAATGCACTACATATGTTTAGTTATCGGTTACAATTTGTTTTACATATTATTATTGATTAGACTGAATATTTAACCTCACTATGGATTGACTGTCCAGGGTTAGAAATAAACCACTTTTTCTTTGTAAATATATTTAATTCTGATGTGGTGTATAACAGAAATAGTAGTGATAATCAATTTTCCGACTGAATTTTTTATTTCAAAATTTAGTTTATTAACTTAGTATTCTTTAAATCCTTAACATGACACTTTATTAGCAGTTGTACAAGAAGCTTGGGATGACTTAAAATTACTAGAACAAAATGTACTGGATCAAATATATTTACATATAATATCTTTAATTTACTGATAGTATCTTTACTTTGATTTTGATTTGTATTCAATAGCAGTTATTTTCATTAAAAGACCTACTGGTATGCTTCTATGCAAGTATATATGTAAATTTGTGTAATAAGAGAATCTCGAGTTAGTGACAGACAAGTGAACGGAGACGAAGTGTAGATGCAAAAAATATAAATTAGAAATTTTATGGGTATTCAGAAGAAGAGAGCTAAAATGTAGAAGAATAACAAGCCGTAATTGGTACAAGGCTTGTTTTACTATTTATGGTGATCATTTTACAACTGCTATCTTAATGGCTTTACTAAACGTGAACTGTTAAAAGTAATGTACCACTGTATCCAATTTATAAAAAACCAGATAGCTGAACTAAGACGATAATTTTTATTGATTGGCATACTATTCTAACCAGTTTATATAAACTTTTATCCAATCGAAATACATTATCGTGAGAAAAAAATAACATTACACAGTGACAAGTTTTTGTAATTAACGTCAACCTTCAAATAAAGGATGACAACGAATAACTCAAATTGACTATGATCTATACTTATACCACTGAACATAATTTGCTAAATTCCTAAAATAAATCAAGGTTATGTGTCAATTAGACACGAGTAAAGACATCCGAATAAGAGAAAATAGACGATAAATGGATTATCAGTACAGGGTTGTGGAGAATGTTGAGTTTTGATTGAGTTCATGAATGAATCAATGTTAGACCACCATTGGAACCCTGGAAGCACTGGACGGCTGTTTTGTCCCATACTAGGATAAATGGATTATTTTCAGTCAGGGATCAGAGTTCACGCTGAATTATTTTGATCATCTTATATTACTATCAACAAATGTAATCTGTACCCTTTGACTGTTCGGCACCAAACCTACCAGTGGAGTATGCCATTTTGTCCAGTCCAGTTATATTGGTTTTAATACTAACGTCTTGAACACTATGGCAAAAAACATAGAATATTAGGCTGTAATATATCACGGACAATTAAATTAAATACAACGTAAAGTACTTGTTGAGATAGAAAACTTGTAAACTACACAACATTAAGTGAAGAATAAAATTCATAACTGAAATTAGGTATGACATGTGTAATACATTACAAGTGATAGTATAATTAATGTTTTCAAAAGTTTAGAGAAAATAGAATTAACCTGATGATAGATAAATAGGAAATGCAAAAATAAAAACAACGCAAATAACAAGCAAACAGTAAGAGCAAATATACGAGGGAAAATAAGCAGTTCTGTAATATTGATTGAAAGTATGAATGAGTTTGAGAATGCAAAGTAGTTTAACATCGAACCAGTTTCACAAATTTTTTATCTTTTTAGTATTCATAAAAAGATTACAAGGGGACTTACAACACAAGATAATGTACTTAAAAATTACTCAGGTTAGTTCAAACACGGAATGTTATAGACATATATTAACTGGAATAGTATTTATTTAGTCATACATATATACCTCGTTCTTTCGAATTAACAACAGCAGACGTAACTAATCTGATTTATTCTGAGATCTTTCTAGTTCATCCAGTGAAACCATATTCACACAAGCTGCATGAAGCTGAATGAGGCTAATCAACATTTTCAGAAATGCTATTGGTGCTGTTAAACAAATCACTATGCCCCATAATCCCGAAGCAAATACTGGTCAAAGAAAGGAAAATAAAATAGACACAAATGAGGTGGAAGGTTTTTATATTATGTCATATGACTTTTATAGTATTAATTACCATACTTCACTTGACAAAAAAGTTCATTACAGTTAAAATGAATGAAAAAGGTATTACAACTCATTCCACAAATATAAACAACTTAAAACCTTGCGTATAAATTCAACTCTTCGATTTGTCGTATCAGTTATAAAATAAATGTTTCTACACTTGGTATTGTATGAAAGTTCATATCTATTACTGTACAATTTCAAAGTCCAGTCTTAACCCTAAGTTGTATATCATCAGAGTTTTTAATTATAGAAAAAATGAAGACAAACCAAGTATTATGACATAAAGACATAATAAGTCATGTAGATTAAAGTACTACATTTTTCTTCATTGTGACAATAGCATTCATATAACAGCTTAAATTTACAAACTTTACTATTCTTGACACTAGCCTGAGCAAAGGACACGGATCTATTAAGGTTTCAGAATTGCCTTACCCTTAGAATGTAAAACACAAAATGGAAGAACAGTTATTGCTTACTAGTTGAATGTCTATTGCCTAATGTGTGCTACTGTACATCGAAATAGTATTATCTAAACATTTGAAATCTAGAGAACATTTCCATATAATAGATTCACATAGCTGGTAATCACATCCAAAAACACTATGGTGTCATTGCGATATCAACGTTAAAAAGGAATATTAAAGTCAAAAATCTGCAGGATTATTGTAAGGCACGACCGTTATTACCTAAGGTGAATGTCAGATAGAGCTATATGTGTTATGTCACGTTGTTATTAATTTACCTGGGAGAACGTTAACTGCCAGTCAGTCAGTTATATGCAGCGTTAATATAATTAAATGATTTGTATTACAGATTGATGTACAGCAAACAAATGGTTGTCAACGACAACTGGACAGAGCTTAAATACAACAATTCCCATTTCTAGCTTTTCACAAGCCCATTTTTCAAGCGGTAATCATAATAGCCATGGATATTTCCGTTGACCAAATTGAAGAACCAGCCTGTACTCTTTATGACTGGTTTTAAATGGGTTGTGATTTCGTTCCAGAGAACGCTTAAAGACTTAAAATCAGCAAAATTGGTACATAAATGATGAGCTAGAATTCAAGCTTTATCTCGCGAACAGACAAACCATTGACTCTCTATAGCTGTATGATCTTACGGTAGAACACGAAAAATGAAATGTGTAGACTTGCTTTTTGGTCCAGTATAGAAATGGTATATATAGAGCGTTGTATAGAAAAGCTCATTTCCAGCACACATCAAGAAAAGAATGACCTATATATAATGAAGAATAAATTTTGGAAACGACATGACCTACCCTATTTGTATAGTACAATTTGAGAAATCGATTTGCTTTAAGATCTATAAATTTGTGACTTGATTTTCCCGATAAAACAGAACTAAACCAGTAGTAACGAAATGAATTCTCACCTGTGTAGATGTAACCAATGGCTAGCTATGTCCACAATCATACTGAATTGAAAAAAAAGCATGTATGATGGATAAAAATAAGTAAGACAAGCCAATAAACACATTGTCGAGCATCGGTCAACAATCATGTCCAACATAGCACCAAATTTCGTACCTCAATGAAATCATTGAAAGACGTTACTGAAATAGTCTTACTTTGGTTTAGCGCGCGTGCAGCACAACCATCTACCGCATCCAATAGACACGAAATGATGTACGTCAGAAGAGTCAGCTCACAATTAGTTTTCATAAAATAACATGCTTGAAACAGAAGTACGATTCGTATGTAACCTTCAAAAATCAGATCAAAGTAACACCATAAGATATGTCCTGCTTTTTCTATTTCTTTTTATTTACAAGCAAAAAATACAACTCAAACTTTTCCACTCCCAGTAAAAGTCGTTTAACACACTGAATGTCATCTCGTTATGGAATACCTTAAACGATTTCTACAACAGTGCCAAATGGTAAAAGCCCACGACAGCTGTGTTGTTCATTTGATATTTTTCCCTCATAAAGATTTAGTGAACAAAAGTAAACTGTAGAATTGTGAAATGTTGGATATTTCTACAAACTTCAAATTACTTAAGACACAACGAAGAATTATTGAAGCAATATATATAAACGGTGATTGCGATTTATTAACTGAACTGAGTAAATAATCAAGTAAGACAGCATAAGTTTATCTTTCTTAATGGCTAGTCGAAGTAATTCAACACAGTGATTGTTGGGATTCAGAATAAAATCTCCAGTTTAACCTGAATATCAGCAGGTTTTAGTCCTTCCTTATTACAGAACAAATAACCTGTGGAAGGTATCTGGATAAGTACTCCTAGTTGTTGCTACGATTCTATCCACGTTCCATCTTTGTCAAACCTAGATATTGAATTTATTATTATTCTACGCTTTGTATCATATGATTCCACTTGTTGATTGAGAACTATACTTCCTATTTTTACATCTTAATTGCATTTAAGATTATTTTCCTAAAAGTCCCACATCATGTTAATTTGTTCCCATTATCCTAATGCGGGACGACACGTTCGGACTACGTTCTACAGTAAATACGACAGGTAGCATGAATTACTATATTGTTGGAGATTAGGATTTCACTCCTTGCAATTAGCAAGCATTTAGGAATTCTTTAATTATTGGGCGAAAATCAATCGTCGGTTTATAGTATGCAATAATATGATATGGCCATTTGCCCACAACACAGAGTCGTTGAATAAAACCTACAGATACCGGAAGACAAAACAACCAACATTTAACCACTGTAATAGTAGAACGTATGTCGATCTCGATGATTCGAAGGTGACTTGTGGAAGGTGGATATTGACAGATAATTCCCATTTAAACATTAAAATTAAAACACGAATTTCAGCGAAGGGATCTCTTTTCAACGAATTTATTATCAAGCTGTACAATCGTATATATATGAAAATTTTGTTTTTGTAAAAGTACTAAGGTGGATATGATCAGATTATGATCTAATAAAATGGATGCCCTTTTATCTATCAACTAATAAAGTGATAATGAGGCATCGAACATAACGGTCATGTTTAATCTCATATCCTTATTATATCGAAGTTCGGTTTTGCCTGACCCACAGTCTCGGCCATCCTTTTGTGGCATTGTATTTGTCTCCAGTTCCATCATATGGACGACTGTAATTAAAATATACTTTCTTGGCCCGACATCTGACTCCAGGTAGAACGTTCACTGCTTAATATCGACTTATACATATCTTCAATCCTCGAATATAATTATCGACTTAAATCACGTTGATGAACAGCGGAATCAAATAAGTCAAATACGAGAATGGATTTTTGGAAACGTATATTTCGTACAATCGTTCATCGGAAGGCGAAACAAAACAAAATGACGTGCAATGGAAAAGGCGAGTGACCCAACTCGTTTTTATCACACGTGACTCAATATTTATAGTTCGACGAAAATAAGTTACAGATATGTGATGAGTAAGATAAGAAATGCACACAAGCTTATATAAAAAGTCAAGGTTGACAAGCAAATAACTAACAAGGTCGAATTGTGATTCAACATGAATGAATAAATTGGTTTGTTCGAACTCTAGAATAAGCTATGTGGCCGTAACATAGGACCAGCCCCTACAATACATCCCGGCTACCCTTGTATATTTTTATTGACTTACATTGCGTTAGTGAATGACCGAAATAAATAATTGAAATACGAAAATAGATTTTGAACACGTATACTTTATACGCTCGTCGATCCAGACAGACGATCAGAAAAAACGAAGCGAGGGCGGAGAGGAGAGAGCGAAGCGAAACGAACCGGAGAAGGCATGTGAGCCAACTCGACTCAACAAAACGTGAATCGATACTTAGAGTCAAGCAAAAATAAGTTTCTCAGAACAGTGTTTGATGGAGAATGCTTGTGTGCGGCCTATGCTCCTCCACAAGGGGTAACAAGCGTAATTAAGTAAGTTCGTAATGAATAGGGTAAGTAATTGACACATATGCAACCATATAAAAAACAGTCAGAGTTAATGAGCGAATAGGTGACAGGGTAAAAATGAGGCTTGAGAAGAATGAATAGATGGGTCTGTTCAAAGGCTAGAATAACCTATGCGGGCTTAACATAGTACCAGCCGCACTACGTCCTCTCATGTCACGACCATTTGGATTCTATAAGTAGTCTTCTTGCTAAAAGCTCTGGGAAACATTCAAAGCATTTGTCAAATCTTCTGACTGTTTACCTTATTCATATATATCTGTTTCCAAAATAAGTTTGCGATTCTAATCACAAAAAGGTGTAGATTATTGCAGAAAAATAAATATATTTACTATGACGCGGCCCCTTGAATGCAATATTTTAAGAGATTTCATCACTGAACCGTTCTCTCGCCATAAGACTATTTGAATCATTAGTTTTCGGGAATTTCCAAAAGATTTCTTTGTCTAAACTACACTAGAGATAAGACTCATAATAACAATAGTAAGTGCCTAAAAGCATGCAATCAGAGTAGATGTTCAAGGACTACTTATTACGAAAAATAACTGAAGCTATGTTATTATATTTTTTTGGATATATGTTGCAATCAAGTATCACACAAATGTTAGCCACCAAGATCTCTAGAGTGAAAATATGAGATGGCGATGACAGTTCATCTAGCACCATCAATCTACCTACCTGTAGTTCAGTGTTGAGACAAGCAGGTCACATGAAACCTGGCTGCTTTGTTTGTGGCTATTCTTGAAAAAGACTGTTTAGTTTGATACAGGTTAGGGTGACGCTTGAGAACTCTGGTGAAACGTTTCCAAAAACACTTATAAGACTATAAGCACAATGCTTCCTATCTAACGTATTTTCTAGGTTCCTATGCTGTGGTAATAAAACAGCAAAAAAAGAAAGACTCCTGATGATTATTACAAAGCAAAACGCGCCAAAAATTCAAAACTATGGACCATTAGCTTGGATATGTTTCGCGTGTATTGATGTACCGAAAGATTACTAGCACATTTCAATCCGCTCGTGAAGACCCAATCCACGTGTCGATGGAATAAGAATGGTGAAACAACAATCTGCTAATGAATAACTCGGACACAAAATGCCGGCAAAGATATTTATCCGAAAAATCTATAGTGTAAAGGCAAGCAGCTTATATTATAATAGGAACTAAGTGAAAAATGAGAATACTAACATTTAGCAGATCGGACGTTGGAAACTACATGAAAATTCGTATTAGTTCTATAACAAACATCTAGACCACATATAAAACCAGTGAATACCACGCACGAAATGCAATGGTACACATATAAAATAGTAATATAAAAAGAAAATTTAGGCAATGAAGATCTGACAAAATATTACTTCTTATAGTATTCCAAGTACGCAAAAAAATTTACCACATAAAAAGTGACATAGATGAACGTTTCGTACCAAGTATATTTGGGATAAACAGAAACACGCTCATCTTTCTTCAGGTATTCTGTGAAATAGATGTGTTCACTGTTCAGAAGTATTACGGACAAAAAAACACCAATAGTATAGCGTCCGGCCAGCGACAGTTCGAATTTTATTCTACTTTCACAAGACTTTTAATGAACCCTAAAAGAAGTACTATCGTTGAGCAACAGCAGTTCGATCAGCTACAATAATATCTAAATAGGATAAATGAAAGAAACGTGTAGGATTAGAATGCTACGCATTGAAGGAGTGGTAAGTAGTAACTTGTGTTGCTATTCGAAGTACACGAAAGTACTCACGGGAAAAGGGCAACCTACAACCATACCTACAAAACGAAAGAATGAAGACGCAATACTAATGACCTCGACTCAAATCCCCGGGACTCTGGAAGACATTACGTTAGATGTATATAACAATCATATAACAGCACTCAACAATGACTTTAAAACCTCTTTCCTTGTTTTTGAAAGCTTTTGTAATAAATATGCTATGATATAATGTTTATGAGATAAGTTATAGAGACCTTTTAGTGGTCATTACTTTGTTTTAATAAATGTTAAGCGGTTTTTATTACCAGAGTTCAGACCTTGAAATAACATCAGTTGCTGCTGGAGCGTTCAGCGTTTGATGGACTCGTGTCTATTTTTGTAGTCCGGGGGATCATGAATGTTAGATTCTGAGAGAACATTTAAAAAAATGAACGAAGGAAAACGTAGGTTGACGACTCAGACACCTCGTTGGATTCACTTTCGTTTTGTGATGAAGCCGACAGACAAAAATTTCAAGGAACACAAGCGTGAAATAAGAACAATCGGGTTATCGAAAGTAAACGTTTTGTGGTGTAAGGATTCAGATGTATAATCTGTGGATGAATTTCATACAGATTTCTAGTTTGTTGGTCAATTAACTTTACTTCTGCCATCTTTAGACATCGAAACATCAGAGGTAGCAAGTGAACAGTAAAATAACAAAGACAGGACAGAACGAAATAGCACCTGTCATGGAATAAAATCCCGCCATTGGCTCATGCTGCTTTTTCGTTTCTCTAGTTGAAAGTCAGTTACTAAATTTTGAACGTCTTGCAATTTCAACGCTTTTGTGATAGAACAATATGAATTTCTTTTACATCATTTTTTCTTGCCCGTATTGCCATACACATATTAAAGAGCGACAATCAGATAGTATATATAAAGTACTAGAATAATAGCGATTATCAGTATTACGCACTGTGAGATCCAAAATAAGTTTTGGACTGAAGAATGGCTGTCTAGATGGGTTAGTTACGTGCCCTTGCCCGGTTGAAACCAGAACAAAATGATTGGGTAAAATGACGGTTCTATGTATCATCATAAATTTAAATGTACATTGTTACCTAAACAAATATGACCACCCAGCTATCCAACGAATAATTGTTCAAGTGATCAAATCTAAATTACATCAAATAGGGAAGGTCATAAAGGATGCGAGAAAATTACCAATCACAACAAATAAATGCTGTTCTATCCTTTCTGGATAGACCACGCACAGATTTGTGGTGGGCCAGACAAATATGAACGCGAAAAAGTGTTAACGAAGTTATAAAGAGTAAATAATAATGTTGATAGTCATTAATACAACACAAAACTATGAACTTTACTTAAATTCACCAAGTGTTGCGTGTTCTGATTGGGTCTGGTATTATAAATCAACAATTATAAATGTTCGATAATTCCGTACAGGTTGTTGAACTCTCCAGTAATGTAACTCACTGTTATGTGCGATATGTCTCAGCTCACAGACCATAAATGTGGAAAATATTCGTTTTAGGATGCAATTAGCTCAATGACGAGTGAGAGTAGAACAAGGAGTGTGTGTAGCAGTGTATTTGAGAACAACCACAAGTGTGTCACGCTATGTATGGTACACAAGGGAAAGTGAGTTCAAGGTCGTTTACTAAAACAACAGTTACAGTCATTTAATGATAAATATACATACAGTGAAAGATTGACAAAATAAAAACAAATAATATTAAAAAATATTTGCAAAATAAGCTTGTAAGACCTATCTCCACAGATTCGTCCAAAAGATAATATTTGGTTGCTTCATAACGCAGAGTGTTTCCAGTTCTGGAAGAGTGTCTCAATTCACAATCAAAACTGCAAAGTTCTAGTTAATACAAGCAACATAATCAAAAGGAGGAAAAAACCAATTTGGCTGCCGATAAGACTAAGCTTCAGGTAAAACAACATAAATGCAGTTCAGGAAGAAACACGGAAACTTGGTGAGGGCGTAAAAAAAATAGAAACTATAATAGAATAGAAATATTAACAAGTCAAATGGAATCCAAAATACTAATAATGTACAACTAAGGGGATCAATAGGGACAGACTGCAAGTTTATACATGGAGGGATTTTCACACACAAAACATTCAAAATGGATCTTACACGCACGTTTTCGTACTTACTTTAGGTCACTGTTCAAAACTTATTTGAGGGGTCGATTGAGTTAGTCGTATTGCTTATTTGAAGGTGATCTATCAAAATAAATGAGTTGGGTCAGTGAAATATTCTGGGTACTAATTATACTGCCCACGAGTTTAAACTATCTCTAACCTAGAAGGCTAATAATAGGACGTTGAATTTTTTTATCAAACTTTATCTGAAATAAGGACGTCTGATTAGCGTTGATCAGTCGGAGACACGAACCTATCCATGTTTTGATATGGTCACATTCTTTAATTCCCTGTCATACTTAACAAATCATTTGGCTAGTAAGATGCAATTAGTCCTCTAAGAGGGATGTAGAATCAAAATAGTGTAGCCATTAAGTTAGTGTAAGTTAGGTTGTGAGGAACAAACTGGTGTGGCCAATGTGTACGGTTGTGTAGATTAATATTATTATAAATAGGACGTGAGCATTAGTAGGCCCGACCAAAGAAACACAGCCTATTATTAATCCTCGTTTTAACTTAAACTTTCTCGCATTGTAATGTCGATTAGTACTCATAACCTACGAGTTCAGTCGGATGGCAGCTATCAGCCTTGCAGGCGTGGTCATTCTTACGCAACTTATCGCTTTTATTCATATCAAATATAGTTCTATCTCTATAATAAATATGTTCTCCATCATATATTCGTAGTTGTTACGATACGATGAGTCAGCGAAGACAACGATGTGACTTCCAAGTAAGATCTTATAGACTAGGCAGTTCCATCATAACAAATCTACAATTTTAGGATTAGGTCCATTATTGGAATATAATTCTACATTGGTTGGCACCGACAGTGGGATTGCAAAATTATCGGTTCACACATCACTTATCAGTTATTTCGTAACTCTAAGATAGTCGCTCTTTTGATCGTTATGATAGTTTTGAGGATTGTTCCACGGATGACGTGTAGCATGCACTGTTTAGGTTTTGATGACCTTCAGGATTGTCAGGACGATCAACGTAATAATCCGCCCATCACTTTTAAACCCTTCAAAGGATATGAGATTGCTGGCTACATAAAATGCAGTTTGTTTCCATGTTTTCAAAATCTTGATCTTACCGTGAGATGATTTCTATTTGGCAATCAGTAAAATTTATCCTTTGATTTTGTATCTCACAACGGGTGATTGGTAGATTGTTGGCGATGACGCAACGATTTATAAAGAAGACTCCGATGTGTTTATTGAGGTAATCTGTGTCTCATCGTACGTTTCAGCCTAGAGAGATGTGCCTTTTTTCTCCAAAATATTTGAATGTATTCCTGGTTAGTTACACTATATTTAGTAGCGGATCACATATAATTCTTAAAATCTGTTTCATGAGGAGGATCATGATTGTGAAGACGTTATGTTAATAACGTGAAGTGATGAATGATTCCGTTAGACCAACATTTCCCCATGTCCTCGGCACCGATGGTGACCTCTTTAGGCTGAGTGCCTGCTAAACATTTCTTACAACACCTAACAGGCTGAAATCTGACGCTTCTCAACATATCGATAACCTTCCACATACATCTCTGAACTTTCTTATACTTGATTCTGATTTGTCCGGTTTGAGTACCCATCGACAAAAACGGTGTTGCAGATGAAAGCGTTTCCAAAACCTACATATCCATGACACTCTCATTTACTATTGGGTGATTGCTAAGGGTAATTTTCCAGTGATTAAACTATTGAAGTAAAACCAAGTCATGTGTACTCAATATGTTTAACTACTCAGCTGGAAAAAAATTAGCGTGTGGAATATCTGAAGTCTCAGTTAATACACCAATTGCAATGGTGTGTAGTAACCCCATTCAACTACTGTATCATTTGACTGCTAGTTTAATCCACATTTAATCCACTGAAAATGACACAAGTATTCAGTGTTTGACAACGCTTCTACCAGTAACACCTAATATGATTCGTTCCCACCCAGAGAAATCAAAAGACAGAGTCGAGGAGATCGGGAGAGTATATTTGGCGATAACCAATATATCGGAATTCTCTGATCTAATCTGGCTAGCGATTGCGGTAGATGTTGAACGCGGCGTTACCACACGTGATCTGGTGCGGATGTATGACCGAGCGCCTTCAGCTATATGAGTCCACTAAAACATATGGTCAGCATCCAATGTCGAAAACTTACAGGGCTATTTATTTTGGGGATTTATTTACCGCTACAGATCACTCCCCCTTAGTGGGGCAGTGACGACCCTAAGACGTGGCCAGCCAGAAGTTTAAACCCAACGAGTTTGTCGTTGGTAAACACTCTTCTGATAGCTTACTAGGTTTAGCAGCGTCTGGTCGTCTTTCCTTACTATATGGGACGGAGGTACAACATAGTAAAAAAAGAAAAAGTACGATGGAAATTTCGGCTCCTCGTAAACTGTATCGTTCTTTTCCAGCCGTCCTGGAAAAGAAAAAAGAAAATGTAAGTGCATGTCGAAATACACTCGTATTTGCGTAAAAACACAATGTCGGCGAAAAAAATGGAAAGTATACTCAAGCACACGTAATAGCGTTAAAAAAATGTTTTTTATGTTTTTTTTTTTTTAAATAAAAATATAATATATAAGCAAATTAAAATTGTTTTTTAAAAATATTATATATCGTAAAAGGAAAGATCGAGATAATATGAAATGTCGAGTAGTGCCTTACGTGCAGTAGTCGTTTAAATGTTCTGGAAATCTTACTCTTCTTCCAGAACGCGTCGTTTTAAGTTTATTTTCAGATACATTCGGAGTATCATCGCCAGTGTTGGTTGTCGGTTGAGGAATTATGAGTGTAGGAGTCGTGTTGTGCGATTGTACCGAAGGAAAGTCGACGTGAATAGGATTTCCTTCTAAATACGCTGCTTTGAGGCGATCGATGCTGATGCTATCGTTGGTTCCGTTCTTATCGACTATATAGTACTTAGATTCACGTT